CAAAACAAACAAACTAAAAAACACAACACAACATTGACAAAATAGTAGGTATTCCATAAAGCAACTATGGTAAGCAACGTATCATCAAAGTGTTTTACGCTTACTTTTTCAGAATTATCTCAGATGCACCCTTGCTGAATATTCGGTAACTTCCATCTGAATTTTTCAGGACAGTACTCATGGACTTCCTAACAGAATTGAAGGTGTAGACTTTGTACAGTGCTTCTTCTGGTATTTCATTTCTAACGTCCTGATAATCCCGCTTTAAATCCAAAAGAAGTCCCAACAAGGCACATTCAGTTTTATTACCAACATGACGAGGTAATCCACCCTCTTTCTCTGGTGGCTGTAAGAGAAAAAAGGGTTTAGAAGCTAGTATCATCTTGTTTCTTCATAACAATATATAATGTAAAACATAATTTGACATTCTGGAACAAAATTATAGAGGAAATTCCTACTAATACAGTATTTCAAAATGGGACATAGAAAGGTAAGGCAGAAAAGAAGCCCTGGGGAGGAGAATGACATGGATTCCGATCTCAGCCCTGCTGGTTACTGGCTATGTGAACTTTCAGCAAGTTACTCAATTGCTGAGGTCCTTGGCTTCAACATCTGGAAAAGAGGAGCAGCATATACAACCCAAGAATGAAACATGATAAAGCAGTTAAGTTTAAAGTTGCTTCCTAACACACAATGGAATTTAATAAATTTTAATGCTTTGACTTTTTCCCTCCTGTTCTCACTGACCATTTATATCACATAATTCAAAATTAATTCTACAAACTTTTATAGCTCAAAATAATATGCAATAATTTACTGTTGCCTTACAGGTACATACAACTTTTCCCTTCGTAGTATCTTCACAAATACCTTATATAATCATCACAATAGTGTTGAGAGCAGATGTAACTATTTTTACTGAACAAGTGGAAAAGTAAAAGGCAAAGCGAGATCTAGAACCAAAATCCTGGACCTTCCCAGCCTACTATCTAATTCATGCATATTTTACTAAACAATTCTCAATATTAATTTAACACGTGGTGGTCTTCATTCATAAATCAGTAGGCCATATAACAAACAGAATTCCCTATTTTATCATATAACTAAAACTTTTGTTTAAGATTTGCCATACTGAAAATATTTTATTCAAAGGTAGCAGTAATCAAGAATTACTCTATTTAATCCCAAAAGGTCTAAGGATCACCTTAAAGGTAGGAACTACTGAAAAGCCAAATAGAGTATTTAGCAAGTATATGTTAAGACTTTAAAGTTGAAATAGGACTTCAACTTTTTCTTTAGATTCACAAAATGAAATTAGTAAAGATTTAAAACTAAGAACTTATTCTGGTTATATGAATTGAAAGTTTCAAAATATAGGAGAAAACAAACAACAGAATGTATATGTTGATCAAGAGATCTCACCTGTACCACAGAAAATACCAAAAGGCACATACCTTACAATGATATATGCATTTTAAAACCACAACTGGTTGTTTGTTCCACTTATTTATAGTAACGATAGTTTTGAAGAGCAACTAATATCTTAATTCTCAATTTAATGTTAATGTATAAATTATTAAAGGAAATCTTACCAATATTTTTGATGTATAAGCACAATTCACAGAAATTCCTGTTACAAGATAGGAGAGAATATTTGGTGGAATAGCTTCTGGCTCAGGAACCTTTTTATAATGTTTTTCATTTATGTAAGCTTGAACAACTGTCATTCTGTTCATTGTCAATGTTCCTGTTTTATCTGAACAAATAGCTGTAGCATTTCCCATGGTTTCACAAGCATCCAGATGCCTTACTAAGTTATTATCTTTCATCATTTTCTATGGTGACAAAGAAAAAAAATCTAGTTACATTCCATTAAAAAAAAATCACCCCATTAAAGTGATTGTAAACTGTTTAAAAGTCAGGACTAACTCTCCTAGCTACATGGAGCAATTTTAGTGTATCTGATCTATTCAAATAAGCAAAGGACAGTGCTAGCTTTCTGTGTGTTCAGTCACTTTCCCAGTGTATAACACAACGGGTAAGTGAACACAGAAACTGCACCTATGTGAAAACAGTATGGCTCCCAACAGCTTCTGTGAGGTGTCTGTGCATTCAAGAGCAATGAAAATTTATACTCGAAAGTACAGAGATTCACAGAGCTTAAAGACTAACACTCCTTATTAATCAAGTAGGAAACGAAAGAGGAAAAAATAGCTTTAATATAATAGCTAAAGAATAATTAATAAAATAGCTAAAATATAATTAACTATCAGTTAGATTGATTCTGAATGACTGATTTAACATTATCTAAATAAGAATGGGACATTTTTACCTATTCCGTAGGTTAGTACACTGGCATTCTCATCCTTAGGATCAAAGATGTCTTACCTCTTTATTTTATTTACAAGACCATCTTTAAAAACCAAAGACTTTTTGCAGTAGCCCCTACACACATTTAAGTTAAAATGCTTGATAATTTGTAATACAAATATGGAAAAGGTTAAAAACTATATTTTTTTCACAAAGTGTGCTCTATATTACTAATACACACATTATTAAAAAAAAATGGTTCCTTGAATATGTGGAAGAAGGTATATCTCCCAAATTACTGGTGATCTGTAATGATACTGAATATCAAAAGAATGAGCTTCTGTAGTAAATAAAATGTGTTCAATTCTGCAAAGCCATTTAACAGAGAATCTAGAAAGACTTCAGTGGAAAGAATAGCAAATGTAACATTTAGATTAAAAAAACACAATTATTTCTAGCTATAAAAAGGACAAATAGGTGATTACACTGCATTTCATAATCACTTGATACATTTACCATTTTGTTTTTGGAAAAAAAAAAAAGATGTAAAATGCCTGTAAAAAAACAGTAAGCAAAAAATACTCTTATGAAAAGTACTACTGTAAAACACTGGAAATCAAAGAGAAGACTGTTAAACCAGAAACTATAACTAACTACTTCACAGTGCTCACTGTAAGCAATGCTATGTAAGAATTGCTAATTAGCATTAAAAATTGACAAGAACCGCATACTTCTACTAAGTGGGATTTTTCTTGCAATGTTATACAAGGATCAAAATTGTCCAAGTTAAACCAATTCATTTGGTTTAAAAATCCAATTCATTTTTTTTCATATAGGACATAAATTGATAACAAATGAATGCCTTACATAACAGCACTTAGAAAAGCCACTGAAGCTCCTTTTTAGCATTTTAATTGGAAAACAAGGGGTGAGCTATAGAAATTCAGTGTTAAGAGAAAGTGATATTTGAAAAGATCTGAGTAAGAGATTATTCTAAGAGAGAAACATGAGAGACTGGAAGTGAGGCCATGGTTGGGCTGTATGATTCCAGAAGTAGCAGGTAGGCTGGTGAGGTTGGACAAGAAGAGAGAACCAGGAGATGAGCACTGAGAGGTAAGCCAAGGGTCACAATGGGCATGGTCTTGCATGTCACAGGAAGGAGTCTGACTCTTATTCTAGAATGAGAAGCTACTGGAGTTTTACACAAGCTGACCTGAATTGGGATTTTAGAAACATGGTCTATCCACTACATGAAGCTTTGGATGGTGGATAATGAGGACAGGAGAAGGGGTACAAGAGTGCAAACAAGGAGGCCTTAGAAGGCTGGACTCCAGTGAAGTCTTTTTATGCTCTTGTACTGTACCTGCAGATAAATGACAAACTGTTACTTTGATTGTAGAGATTGGAAAAAGAAGATGACATGACCTGGCAATGTAACTAGCATATAACAAATTAAGTTTGAACTTTTGCCAAGCAAATATTAAGAACGCCCTTCAAGGTATGATTAGTTACCGCTGTAAAGAAATCTTCAATTGGGGTTATGTGGAGGGAGTCAATGACAGTATTTTAAAAGGAAACATGGTAAATTTATGGGAAGCTCCAACTTTTAGAATTTTCTTTTTTATAGTGCATTTTCTATATCTGTTGAGGTTTTTTAACTTATTAGTAGAATACTTAGCTATTTTTCTACTTACCTTGACTGAGTAAGCCAGTGAGATAGTGACTGCAAGTGGAAGACCTTCTGGCACTGCTACCACTAGAACTGTAACTCCAATAATAAAGAACTTCACAAAATATTGTATGTAAATTGGTGTGCACTCAGCAAGCCATTGCCTCTTTTGAACCCAGAATGTATCAATTACAAAATATAACACTAGAATGATGACAGTGATGGCAGACATCAACAAACCTTTCAGTGTATTAAAAAGAAAAGAAAAGAAAAATGTAATTAATTAAATTTTCCAGACATTGCGAGACATTGTCAGTTACACATTAGTCAATGGTGGAATTAAACTCGTTGGATATGCATTTTCATATCTTTGAGAAACTGTTTCTTCTTTCTGGTGCCCAATTCATCACTGCACATTTCAGAATTAATTTCTGCTTCCAAGTATAGTCCTGTCCACAGACGGGTAATACATTTATGTTTCTTTCCAAGACTTTATCTTTGGCTTTCAGCTAAAGCTGGGACAAAATAATGGGCAAATGACAAGGAAATACCAAAGCTTAGCATAAACTGGTTCATTATGTATGGGCAATAATTTACTTTGTGCTGAAAGAGAAGCCATTTAAGAATCAGATCAATGGGAAACATGGAATAAAATGTTCAACACTATGTTTTTTTATAAAAAATTATAAAATCATCTGAATTATTTCTTAATTTTAGGTCAACCATTACTGCTTCATTAACGTAGAAAACCAAGAGCTAGCACTGTGTTAAAAAATATTTAACTTTCTGTCATATAAATATATTAATCCTAAAATTTGTACAGAGCCACCAAAGACCCAACACAGTCAAAGCAATTTTGAGCAAAAGTTGGAGGTATCATGCTTCTGATTTCAAACTACATTACAAAGAAATGCTAACCCAAACAGCTTAGTATGGTGACTAAATCAGAACACAGGATACATAACAGAAAGCCCCAAAGTAAACCCATGTATTTACAATAGAGACACCATGAATATACAATGAGGCAAAGACAGTCCCTTTAACAGTGTTGGGGAAACTGCACAGGTGCATGCAAAAGAGTGAAAAGAGAACACTTTTATATTAGGTACAAAAATTAACTCAAAACAGACTAAATACAAATATAAAACCCCGAACTTAAAACTTTTAGAAGAAAAAATAGGCAGCCCTCCCTGGTGGCGCAGTGGGTTAAAGCACAACACTAGGAAGCTAAAGCCACTTCCACATGAGTTCGATCCCCGCCTGCCCAGGAGGAGATCCACAATGGCGCGGCAGACCTCTCCTGACCCGCCCGCTGCTCTCCTCAGCAGTGTACTTCGTCAATCTGCCTGTTCTGCTCCCTACTCTGTCTCTGGTGAATTCTCTCACTGCCCCTGCACCTCTGGCCTGTACCCCAGTTTTGTATGCATAAATAAATAAATCTTAAAAAAAAACATAGGTCTTACAGATGATTTTTTGACTCTGATATCTAAAGCAAAAACAGTAAGCAAAAATAACAGTGTGACCTCATCAAACTAAAAAGCTTCTGCACAGCAATGGAAACCAATTAAAAAAAAGTGAAAAAACTTCTGAGTGGAAGAACATATTTGCAAATTATTTACTGAATAAGGGACTATAATATCCAGCTCAATCTGGTAGCGCAAACAATTTGTTAAAAAATAAACAAAATCGGGCCCTTCCTGGTGGCGCAGCGGGTTAAAGCACAGCACTAAGAAGCTTAAGCCACTTCAGCAAGAGTTCGATCCCCGCCTGCCCCGGAGGAGATCCACATGGCAAGGCAGACCTCTCCTGACCTACCCACTGCTCCCCTCAGCAGTGTACTTCGGGGATCTGCCTGTTCTGCTCCCTGCTCTGTCTCTGGTGAATCCTCTCACCCTCCGCATCTCTGGCCTGTACCCCAGTTCTGTACGAGTAAGTAAATAAATCTTAAAAAAAAAAAACCAAAAAACAAAAAATAAACAAAATCTGGACAGATATATTGTCCTAATAACATACAGCTGACCAACAGGTACATGAAAAAATCTTGAATATCACTAATTAACAGACAAGTGAAAATCAAAATCATGATATGATACCGCCTCATACCTATCAGAATGTCTATTACCAAAAAGACAAGCAATGACAAATGTTGGTGAGTATTTGGAGAAAAAGGAACTCTTGAGCATTGTTCATGTTAATTATAGACACCCCTCAAATAATTAAAAATACAACTACCATATGATCCATAAATTCTACTTCTGAAACATTAACAAAAAAATTTTGTTTTGCTTCAAGAAAATGATTTATAACCCAGTAAGATTTTAGCGTGCAGGAACACATCACCTCAAATGCATCACTACACCATGTCCCCATCAGAGTATCAACGACACTGCAGTCCACTGAATCCTGTGAACCCTTTGCCCCAACCATGGTAGCCTCGATTCTACAGTCAGAATCTAAAACACAAACTACTTGAACTGTTGCATAAGCAATAATTTCCAGTCTTAAATGTTGGACTTAAATCTTTTTAAAAGATTTATTTACTTATGCATACAGAACTGGGGTACTGGTACAAGGGTGGTGAGAGAATCCACCAGAAGACAGAGTCGGGAGCAGAACAGGCAGATCAATGAAATACACTGCTGAGGGGGGCAGCGGGCGGGTCAGGAGAGATCTGCTGTGCCATGTGGGTCACCTCCAGGCCGGGGATGAACCTGCACTGAAGCGGCTATGGTCAGCTTGCAGTGCTGCTTTCTAACCTGTTGCATCACCAGGGAGGGCCCCCAAAAAATTATTTCTAAGGAAGAAGTTAAGCATATTTTAAAACAAAACACCTTATTTTCTTCTCTGTACCATACCTGCTTTGCCAATCTGAACAGCCAATTTTGTAAGCTTTCCTTGTAAAACAGATTTTTCCTTTTTTGGCAAATTTGATTTCTTTTTGTCTTTTTCATCACCATCTCCGCCTTCTTCACTCTTTAAAGGCTGCATTTCCATGGCTGCACCATCCTGGGCTTTTGCTACATGTAAAAGAAAATACAACCTTTAGTACATTTTAATGACAAAGTAACTATTAATATTTTGAAACAATTATTCAGAAGATTCATTCAGATTTGTTTGTGTGTGTGTGTGTTTATTCAGAGAAATAAGACAGTGGTGACATCAGGTTGTGAAACTGTGTACAAAATTGAGAATGTTGTGAGAGCTAACAGGAAAATAAGGCATGAAAACAAATGCAGGTTCATTAAGTTCAGAACTAAATCATCTAAGAATCAGATAGGAACTAAGTAATATCTCCTCTGTGTTGTGTTAGATAGAGATTTATTCCAAATAACATAAATCCCTCCCATAGGATTTATGACTATAAAACAGAACAGCATGTATGACCATACTATAGAATGTACATATGTGTCAAAACTCTTAAGCAGATTTTAAAAACATTTGTTATATATTTGTTTCTTATACAACTATGTAAGCAATGATACAATGACCAATGCTAAAACGTCCCAAATACTTAAGATGAAAGTTACCTGTAACTGGGTTTTTATAAGTTTACTACTGCACGTTATATAATTAAAATCCTACTAACATTGCTGTAAGTAACAATACAGCAGGACAAAGGGAGAACTGACAGAGGGAGAGGTTAACCAAAGTTCACATATATTGCTTATTTTCTCAGGCTCACCTATCCTACTGTTGAAAGAATATAGTACATTGTAGGTATATCTATGGGAATAATGAAGACAAGTTAACTGTACTTTTAACCTCTTGAATTTACCTTTGTTGCGATTCTCAATAGCTCCATCTTGTTTCTTATCTGCAGGAACAAAATGGGAATTAAAGCTTTCCAAAAGAATTGAATACAGCCATGTTAAATTATGCAAAGACAGTTCACATTTCTATAATGGGACTGTTGCACAATGGTGTATGTGTCTGGTACAGATTAGAAAGTATTTAGCTTGTAAAGACTGCCTGTGTCAACCACTCTGTAGATCTTATCCATGGGGGAGGATACATCAAAATAATTTGGGGCATTTATATGTTTGATTTTTCCACAACACTGCTTTTTTATATATTGTAATATACCCAAATGTGGCCAAGAAGCTTTCAAACTAAAAACAGATATAACCCAAGGAAAGTAGAAAAGGTCAAAGATAGAGAGGGAGGGAGGGAAGAATGTCAAGAGAAAGAGAAGAGGCACATAGGAGAGCTTTAATGGGAATGAGGACAAAACACTGCATGTATAGGAATAAGAGAGGTAAAAGCATGGAAGTAAAACTAGAATAAATTAGTAAGAGTACAAATTAAGTTATTCCAAAAATTAGCTGAGGTTAGGAGAAAGATGAAAATGTTTGGAGCAATAAAGTAACTAAGGAGGGAATGGGTCTATTATCTGAAGTAGACAGTGTAATATTAAAAAATGAGAGAAGAAACAAAGCCATTTAGCCTATTTTTTTTTCCCAATTCCTCTACCAAGGTGAACAATCTTCAAACTGGAAAATGTGGAACAAATATAGTTAAGAAGGAACAGATGCTCAAGAAAGATGATGAGAGATAGTAAGGGGATACCTAGCTACTTTCAATGAACTCAAGTTTGGAGAGAGATCAGACAGCCACCTTCCTGACTAAGGGAACGGAAAAAGATTGCCCTGAACTGCTTTTAGGTAACCAACAAAACAGTCAAGGGAATGGGAGATGGGCTGGAAATGCAAATGGTTGTCCTGTTCTACAAAAACAGGTAAGAATCAAAAACATCAGACACTGAGTTAGACATTAACTCATTAACCTAGGAATATTCTTGAACTGAGTAATAAGAACAGGGATGTTAAGATCTTAGAAAAAAAAAAAAGGTTGGTCGTTACCCAAAAAGACAGTAAGAATAAAGTCACAACAAACTTCCCTTTATTTCTAAACAGGGTTAGTTGATTTTTAAACTCCTACAAATTAGGATGAGCACAGTGTATGGTGATGAGCACAGCGTATGGTGAAGAACAAAATCTCTTCAGCAAGCAAAGAGTTTGTTTTGCCACTTATTATAATATTTCTGACCTGGACCAAATTATCCAACCCCCATGAGGCTGTTTACTTATCAGTAAAAAGAATAGCTGTATTTGCATCATAAGGTCTGAGAATTAGGTGATAATAAATAGAAAGTACACAATAAATAATACCCTTACTACTAGCTGCCTTCCACTTAGCCTTTAGAAATCTGAGTTGGCAGATGGAAGCTATGGTGAGCAGTGGGAGAGGAAAACCTAAAATGGGGCCTTGCTACCTGCCCTACAGTCAGAATTTTTCAAACACATTCTTATTCAAAGTAAAGATTTCATAGCTAAAGATCAATCTGTACAAATAAATAAATAAATATTTAAAAATAAAAGAACAAAAGAAAACACCCAAACACTACTATAATTATGGCAAGCCAAGATTTTAGCAAGGCATCTGTTTTAGAAGATCTCAAAATACTGGTATGATAGAAATATGGGCTTACTACCCTAAGTAAAATCACATAAATCTCAGTGTCTAACCCATAGTCAGCTGCTGTCAACCTAAAGGGGAAAAAAAAACTGGAGAAGTGTGGTTCAGCGTATACTAAGAAACAAGGTGGAAGGGCTTTTTCAACAAACTGATAGTTCTCTTCTCCCACAGCCCAACTAGGTGATTCTGAGCTATCTCCTTGTGTTTTACAGAGTTTCTTAAAAGACCTTTATGGATGAACTACGGTTATCAAGTTTGCTGATGATAGGTCACTTGGAGGACAGCATATACAATAATCAAAATGCAGTAGATCTTGATATTTAAATATAACAAGGTAAGTGAATTGGTGTTAAATTAGGTCTTGGTCTTATGTCCACAAACAACTTCAGAGGTACAGAATGGGAAATGTGAATAGTAGGAAACAGAGAGAAGATTAAGAGCTCAATGAGAATAAAACCTGATATGGCTGATAAAGAAAACTACTATTGATATAACAGAAAAATGAGCAAAGAAGTCTCAGAGTTTAATTCACCTGCCCCAGTCTGCTGGGCAGATGACTGGGGGATTCTAAAACTGATGAGTAATAGAATAAAGTCAATGGACATGTTCAAGGAGATGATCAATTTGTCTAGTTAGGGGAAAGAAATGGAATTATTCATTAGAGGCCCTTCATGAACTATTAAGTCTAAAAGAAAAACAAATCCTTTTGTTAATTCTATCACTTAAAAGTCCAATATGGTTAATTAACTTTGGACAGACATTTTCATATCAGCGTATTAAAAGAATGTTTTTCATAACTGTTCTTAGAATCTAATTGCCCCATTTTTTTTTTTAAAGATTTATTTATTTATTCATACAGAACTGGAGTACAGGCCAGAGATGCGGAGGGTGAGAGGATTCACCAGAGACAGAGCGGGAAGCAGAACAGGCAGATCGATGAAGTACACTGCTGAGGGGAGCAGCGGGCGGGTCAGGAGAGGTCTGCCACGCCATGTGGTCACCTCCGGGGCAGGCGGGGATCGAACTCATGTGGAAGTGGCTTTAGTTTCTCAGTGCAGTGCTTTAACCCGCTGTGCCACCAGGAAGGGCCTAATTGCCCCATTTTTAATAGCTATTTTTACAGTCAATAGCCAGTCTTACTTTTCTTTTCTTTTTTCTTCTCATCTTTCTTTTCTTCCTCTTCACCTCCAGCTCCAAGTAAGGTAAAGATAATTCCAGTTTGAGAATTTACACCTACAGCAGTAACTACCATTCTTCCAGAACCTTCCATTACATGAGTACCTACAACAGAAAAATTCTTTTTTAATATTCCAATGTTTTTCCTCTTAACCATGAAATTTCAAACTTTAGTAATAATGTCTTTAATATTGTCAATATTAAGCTTAATAAGACAGTAAGCAAAACCTAATTTCTTATGTTTAAGATTTTAATTATGTAATTCATATCTGAATTCAAGGTCCACCCTACCACTCATTTATCATGAATAAATGGATATATTAAAATAACTGTATATTAAAATAACTGTAAAAACAGCAAGACTCAAATAATCCCATAAATGTAAAGCACTAAGCATAAAGTCTAGAATTTATAGGGGTCCAGTGAAAGTTCACTATTTTTTATTAGAACATCATCATATCAGTAGTTTTAACATTTCTCTAAGAAATACTGCTCATCTAGAAACAGGCTTATAACCCAAGGATTACATAGCAACTAAAGTCACCATTTCCATACTCAACCCCACAATCTCATCTAATCCAGATTTTCACCTCAACCTGCCTAGATGAAGGCATTAGCCTCAAAACAGTCTCTTTCCACTTAATCTTGAAATCAGTTTTAATCTTCCAAAATATGTGATTTTTGTCATCAGTTTCATGGTTCAAAAAACTTCTGACTCCACTACTGTTGTATTAAATTCATAGTCTTCACTGTGAAACTAACAAATATTTCTTTTTCATCCACAACTCTAACATAAAATTCTATTACAGATAGCATGGGAGCTGAGATGGAAACACCACTGAATTTTGACTCTGTCCATTACAACAATCTTATACAAGCTGACTGGCATTACAATTCTGATTTTTGAGAAACTTGCCTGAGGTTATACAACTATTAAGTATAAGGGTACAAGGAAAAGATTCAATTCAGCTTTCTCAGAGGAAACAGGCCATTTTCTTATAATATAATACCAGTAAGCTTTCTTCTAGTTCTCCAACTTGTGTAACCAAATTTCTGCATCTTTTCTCACTTATTAAAGGCTTCCTAGCCTCTTTACTCTTTTTGTGAATTTTTAATAGCTTTCAAAACCTAATTTTAAAAAATATTCCATAAAATCTTTACCATTATACCTTATTTATAACTTATTTAGCTATCAGTCTATCACCACAAATTGCACCAAGCCAATGCTTAAAGATTATTAGCCAAATAAGATCACAAAGCACAAGAATTTATGTTTGGCTATTAATTACTGAGTAAATGATCTAATCTGAATTTTCTAGGCCTCTGATTTTTTGCTTATAAAGCATCCATATTTTGAATAATTTCTAATTATTTACTTCTTTGCCAGTGATAGTGTAAAGGAAAAGTAGAAATGAAATTAAGGACAGAGAAACAATATTTATTGAGCAAGGACTATGTGTCAAAGACAGCTTTAATAATTTTGGCTTTCAGCATATTTCAATTTTTTCTTACCAGAGGTAATCAGATGTTGGCAGTTAACGTGCTCAAGCAAAGTAAATAGTTTTTGTTTCTGGCCATATCCCCACTGCTAACAAACTAACTGCTTTTAAAAATCTAAATTTAAGAAGCCAAGGAATAGCACTGAGAGATGGCATCATGAGAATAAATTAAAAATAAATGCATTTCATGTCTTTTAGTACATTTTTGGAGTAGGGAAATAAAAGCAGAAAAAGTTTCCCACCCATATTGAGATAAGGGACTCTACAAAGTTATTTCAGTCTTAAAGATGGAAACTTTAGAGTCCTCTTAGCATACTTGGTGTTTAAGGGACTCAAGTCTACAAAAATTTACCAGCCATCTCTGTTAAAACAAAAAAAGGATCAATGTTCAGTTAAAGAATGTCCACCTGAAAAAATAAAGCATTATATAAATAAGCTAGATGTGCATAAAAGCCCATGAAGTATATAAGGCAAAAAGGCAAGGGGAGACTCTTTCAGCTCACCAAATATAGTGAGCCAGTTACTCTATGGCAGTTAAGTCATGATCAAATAGCCTCCCTCCGCCTGGAAAGAGAGATTTTATTTGGCTAACATTAACTATTTTCTCAGGAGTATGGTGAAGAATACTTAAAATAAGTACACATTATACTTAACAAATATTATACTCATATAGTCAAGAGTTTCTATATCGAATGAAATACAAGCACACCAATGTAGAGAAAATTCAGAGTATGAATGCACTCAGCAGTGTAGGCTATTGAAGGTATACAAATCTTAAGACTTTTGTTTGAAGAAGTCTGTATTAAAACTGTGACTTTTACTTGATTTAATGGTGTAATAAATTGGTGTATAACTATATATAATTGCAATGATTTTTAATGGTGGGATATTTTGCAATATAATTTTTGAGCACTTATTTGCAAATCTTAAAGTGATAATGGTTAAACTTACGTAAGTGTTCTAGAGCTGTGATTCTAACTTACCTGAACATTTGCCACAGATTTGACTTTTGTTTTAGTAAAGTTCTGTTCAACTGATTAAATGTAAGTTTATAAACAATCAAGAGATTAGAACTGTCCAGTTATTAAATATCTAAATTAAGTCTTATGTTACAAATGTTAGCCATCTATTAATGGCTGATGATGATGATGATAGAAGACAAGCAATATTTTGCCTCTTCCGAACTCCAGTATAACATAGCAAATACATTTAAAACAAGTATTATGCAGACCATTCTAAAGTAAGAATAGAAACTGGAAATCAGTTAAATAACTGGAAGTTAAATAACTGGAATCCTTTTGGAGTCAAGCTGTGCCATGGCTTCCTGTTATTTAGCATTTTACAAGGCAGCTTGTCATTTTCCCCATATTCCTTATATTTCATTTTCAATCAACCTTAGATTAAGCTAACACAATCAGACTGTTGTTAACAGTATCCAAGCAGACTCTCATTCTCCCAGAATGTATACAAATCTTTCCCTTTTTCCTATTCAACACATCTCATGTGCAAATTGAATCTGTTTAGCAAACATAGTGCTCCTTGAGGATCTACTGCTGATTAATACAATCTAAAATATATATCTCAGACAAATCCCTTAGTAGAAAAATAAAGGAGCTAGACTGTGTAAAAATCTGAAGATTTTTAAAAGTTCTTTCCAAAAATCACTATTCTTTATAAATCACTGCAGAAATGTCCTTACTCTGCTTTAAAAAACAATCATAACTTAACTTTATTTTAATGGCTCTTCAGAATAAATGTGACACAGAAAAACAAAATAATTCAATAGCTATCACTAGGCTTACATTTTAGTTCTATCATTATACTAACAATAACTAACACTGACTCTTAAAGCTTTTGAGTTTTTGGACATGTTCCTCATTTGTAAATTATAGCTCTGGATACAAAGATAACAACTGTAACTTTAATGCTAATGTTAGTAAGCTTTCCCAGCTTACTAAAAAAAAAAAAAAAAAACAGCGTTATAGGAGCAGAAACTTAACATAAATACAGAATATTCTTCACATTATTAACTCTCAGAGAAACTGTTTGCTAACAATGACAGCAATAGCTGTGGAGAAAACAGCCATACCTGATAGAAGTAAGGGATCCTTATCTAAAGACTTCTTAACATGATCAGATTCACCAGTCAATGAGCTTTCATCAATTTTAAGATCATTGCCTTGAATGAGTATGCCGTCAGCTGGAAGAAGATCACCTAAACAAAGAGCAATGATAGGTTAAACTATGCACAATGATAAAACTAAAACTAAAAAAAAACTAAAATGATAATCCGTCTAGTGTTCTGATATGCTGCCTTTCTTACTCACCGTATTTCACTTGAGCAATGTCTCCAACAGTAATGTCAGCTACAGGTATCTGAATAACCTGCCCACCCCTGATGACTGTGAACTTCTGTTCTTGTTCAATTCGACTCTGCAAACCTCTAAACTGTTTTTCCTTACTCCAGTCATTGAAAGCTGTTACTAAGACCACACAGACGACTGACAAGAGGATAGCCGCTCCTTCAATCCAACCAGTTTCACCTTCACCTTCTTCTTCTCCAACAGAAACTTCTCCGCAAACTATTTAGAAAGAAGATACTTATTAAAAAGGATTCTGAATTGATGGCAATGGACAGGTAGCAATTATGGTGTTTGTATAGCTCATTAATTTTACTGGTAGCTCTAGAGGCTTTATTGAAATCAAAGCATTTCATAAATGACAATGTTTATTATATCAATTTCAAGTTCCTGGCCTGTGAAGATGTGCACCCTCAGGATAGGGAGTGAGTTTAGGGAACTACTTAACAGCAAGGACACTGGGGAAGATGAAATCTTAGTCCTAAGGCAAGTTACTTATTTCTGAGACTCAGTATTTTTTATCTGTCAAATCAGGATGCCACCACCTACCTAATAGTGAAAGGATATTAATGCACACAGAATAGTAGCTCAGACAGACTTTGCAGTCAACCAATGGTTAATCCTATTATCACATACATAATAAGTCATTCATTACTTGTACTTAGGATGCAAGCTTATTCATTCTATCAATTTACTAGAATATGATCAAAGCTTAGTTTTCATAACACGAATAGTTAATTCAAATGCTAGTCACTAAGTCAACTATTTGATTCACAAAATGAATAATTAAGTCAAATGCTACTCACTAACTCAACTATATGAACACTCAAGGTGCCAGGCATTATTTTAGGAGTTAGGGATAAAGGAGTTAATATGACAGGCAAATGCCCTCTCTCTCTTTAGGGAATCATCAATCACACGGTGGGTGTAGATGATATATAAAGAATTCATATAATAAAAGACAAATAATTTCGTATCTCATACAGTGCTTAAGAAAAAAAAACATGATGATGTGTTATCAGATGAAGAAGGTGCGTTAATTATGGTTGGGTGAATAGATATGGTCCCCTGAGGTATACAGGGCATTTGAGCTAGGAGGTAAATGATAAAAAAGAACTAGTTATATAAACCCAAGGGAAGGGCAAGCCATCAAGAGATTCAAGTCAACATAAAGAGATTCAAGTCAATGGCAGGAAAAAAAAAAAAAGCATTCAAAAAAAGATGATGGAGGAAAGAAACCCTCAAAACTATAGAGTCAGTGAATAATGAGGAATGAACAGACAGTGTTTTTTTTCACTTTGAGTTATAATCTATTTGTGAATTGAAAATCAATTCAGTGGCTCATGCCAACATTTTGAAAAATGAAATGGAGCAAAATAGAGAGGATATTACATGTAGTAATGGTTAAACATTGTTTGTCTAAAGCTTACTTTTGGTTGTTTATAAATTCACATGAAGGGATATGTTTTTCCATGATCCTATGTAAAGTTTTTTTTTTTTAATTGAGGCTTGAGATGAAATATATTTCATGGTTCTCTTAGGTCAAGCAAAACAGAAGAATTATTATTCAGACGAAAACAATGAGTTTAAATGAAAAAATACTAGAAATTATTAAAACATATTCCAGAGCAGCGAGTATGAACTGAAGGGAGGATCTCTGTGGTAAAGTATACTGAAGAAAGATTCATCTGGGAGAGAGACATATGGTAATGAAAAGGAGAGAAGGTAAGAGACTGGGCTAAGATCCATTGGAGATGAAACAGAGGGGGATGATGTAAAAATGACAAAAATATCCTGAGCACCATCAGTGGGATTCAGATAACAATCGGTAGAAGGCACCTTTTTCAAGAAGCTAACAGAAAAGCCCAAGGAGAGTGCCAGGCCCCATGTAAATACTAAAACTTCTGTTTTAATTTCTTCATTTCATTGAAGAAATGACCATGCATGAAGGAATATAATAACCCAGTTAAGTGAATTTATAGTGTACACTATTTTCAACAAAGCTGTAAGGACAGAGTCCCTTACCCTTTTTTTTTTTTTTTAGTTTTATTTATTTATGCACACAGAACTGGGGTGCAGGCGCAGTGAAAGGATTCACAAGAGACAGAGTGAGGAGCAAAACAGGCAGAATTATGAAGTACTGCTGAGGGGAGCAGCAGGTGAGACACTGCTGCGCCACATGGGTCACCTCCCTGGTCAGGACTGAACTCATGCTGAAGCAGCTGCCATAGCTTCGTAGTGATATGTTTTAACTTGTTGCACCACCAGGGAGGAACCCCCTTACTCCATTTTTTGAGTAAGACAGAGCCAAGTCTATATTCAAGAAAGGACGAAGGTTGAAATATCATGTTGACCATTGTTAACAACTTGGAAACAGCTAAAATACTACTTTCCAAATAAAGTTGTTCAGGGGGTATTATTTGTTAAAATACAAAAATTCAATACTTTATAACAATATGCAAGAACAGACTGATATCCCTAAAAAGGAATTTATCAGTTATATTTTCAACAAAAACTTTTACACAGCACATGGTTGGGAGTGAAAATATGTATCTTAGTGACTTAGTGAGTATACTTCTTTCACTTGGATTAATTTACAAAAAGTCATTGAGGGTTTTTTCCCCAGACAGGAGACATTAAAAACCAAATTCTTATATTAACCAAGTTAGATCCACATCAGATTAAATGAAGACAACAGAATGCTGCTGTCTTAGTGTATATTCTATCATGCTATGAAAAATGGTATTTTATGGCTACTAAAAATATCAATATTCAAAATTTATTTCTAATGTTTTAACTTGTATATTTGCATATGGCTAAAAAAATCATGCCATTATAAATACATGCAGATCATGAATGAATGCACCACTTGAAGATAAAAGTGTCCAGGATTATTCCTGTCAAGATAAATAACCAAAAATAATTTTTTTAAAGAGGGAAGCATGAATGCAGTCCCTCATTACCACAAATTATGCAGTCCAGCTTCCCACATTTAAGGAAATTGCAAGGGTCAGCACACCTGAATGCAATGGATAAGCCTCACCTTGGGGAAACCACCTTCGTGGTCCTGCTGTCTCCCTGCCAGTTAAGTATTAAATAACCAAAAAAGTTTAAAGATCAATGTAACAGAAGTTAGAGGGAAAGAAACTGTGAGGCAATCATATTATTTTCAGTCTTAAATCTTACATGCTATTTATGACTGAATAATTTATTATTTCAGAGTATGTCAAACAAATAATGCATTTCATTGCACATATAGTTCTAATTTATAATAGACAAAGTTAGAATGATTCTGAAATAGTGAAATATTTCTACAATGGGACCATGTTCCTATTGATGGTCACTACAAAATTTTAGGGAGTTGTTAGGAGAAAAATTAATCTCCAAATCAAAATTACAAATTATGCTTTTTATAAAGCTTTAATAATGTTTTCATTAAAAAGTAAATGTAGGCCCTCCTGGTGGCACAGCGGGTTAAAGCACTGCACTGAAAAGCTTAAGTCACTTTCACATGAGTTCGATCCTGCCTACCCGGGGAGATCCACATGGCGCGGCAGACCTCTCCTGGCCCGCCCGCTGCTCCCCTCAGCAGTGTACTCCGTCGATCTGCCTGTTTTGCTCCCCACTCTGTCCTGGGGGGAATCCTCTCACTCTCCGCATCTCTGGCCTGTACGCTGTATGAATAAATAAATCTTTAAAAATAAATAAATAAAAAATAAATATAAAGTAAATGTAAATATAACAATAAGGATTTTCTTTTTTTACCAAAGGTGTTTCCAAGTAAATCCTAACTAAATTATGTACTTAGCTATTAATTTCAAATACAGAGGTATTTTTAAATTTCTTAGTTTTAATTTAGAATAGTACTTAACTTATATAATTAGAAGTTCTTTTAGAATTCTCAATGCCATGAAAAATGCAAAGGGGATCTGAGACCAAAAAGAGAACCACTAGTATTCAGATTTACTTATGATGTAGATCATAGTACTTATTTTCTAATCAAATAGTACTAGTAAGGAATTTTCATAATTTAGATTTCTGTAACTTTAGTTTTACAATGAATGGATTTTCTTTGAAGCAAGTTATTACTTCTTAATAAAATATAATCATACCACATACATTAATCAATACACTAATAAATGTTTAAAAATTAATTGTAAACACTAACCTTTCAACATTAAGCAAAAATACCTTTCTCTATTTTATGTAACACCGCCTAAAAGATTTTGGTAAAGGTCTGTTACTACAAGCTACAAAAGAAGTAGTCCAAACCCAAAAAAGACTTATCCAGACCTGTTAGTAACAAAATCAATCCAATTTGAAAATATTTTCTTTTAATTTTGGAAAACTTAAAAGTAAAAAGTCTTTAATATTCTAACATACAATTATAGATTACCAATTCCTAACATTCAATAATGACAATTTGGTAAACTGAACACTACAGAATTTAGAAGTATATAGCTAAACATGGTATGATGTTCCTTTTCAGATATTTAAAGTTCAGATATTTGATGTTCCTTTTCAGACATTTATACACCTGGATAGTACCCATGCACTACCTATGCAGATACGCACACACACACACACTTTTTTAAATCTGGGAGGAACTATTAAAAAATGGTACTGCAGTTATCTCTAAGAAATGGGATTTTCAGAGGATACTATTTCCTTTGATTCTTATCCCACTAATTTTTCTACAACAAAATATAAACTACTTACTTAATAAAAATAAATAAAAGCTTTAAAGATAATCTGGCTCAATATTGACTGTCTAAATCCCTTCTTATCTATATAAGCGATTCTCAAATAATTTTGCCCTGTATGGAAAAATCTGGAAATGTTAGGAGACATTTTTGGTTACTTCAATTAGGGTGAATGGTACAATAAACACGGCAAGAAAAAAAATGCTGTAGTCAAAATGTCAAGTATACTGTTACTGAGAAACCCTGATCCACAGCGATTTCAGATAAACTGGTTTATTCTGTAACCAACACTCTCAAGAAAAAATAAATTCTCATTTGGGCTCTAGGAATACCATTTAAGGAATTACTTTAAATGGTTACTTCAGTAAACTTTTAAGAGTCAGTGTTAGCGAGCATTTATTAAATGCTTCATAACTGGAAAACATTAAGAATGAAGGCTTCACAAATAAAATATTTCTTCTGACATATGAGATGCTACTTGTCACACCTAAACATGGAGATCAAAACACAAGCTACATACTTATAGAAGGCATTAAGAATATTCACTTTAAATATTTTTTTTAACTGCTGAGTTTGAACTTTATTTTTTTAATAATATAACAGTTTATTTTTACATCATTTTGGACATTTTTTTTTCATCTCAATTGTAATCCCCGTGGGTTTCCCATCACCAAGTCACCCGTGTGCCATCACCATAGTCCCCTGCCCCCTCCTTCCTCCCCCCGTTTTTGATCCCATTCCCCACTCCACCCCCACAAAATGTCTCTGGTATATGGCTGTTCATTATTCTTATTATTTTCTCGCCTGGTCCACTTTAAATATTTTTATTAAAGAAAAAACATTTATTGTTTTTTACCATATGTGCTGCCAAAGCAAGCTCAGAAGATATTACAAGAGAAATGAAAGACATAAAAAGGTGCAAGAAAAATAGTTGTTTGTAGCTATAAATGAAAACAGATTTTTCTATAATGTATTTCCATAGTTTATTTCTATAATGTATTTCCATAGTTTACTTTGCATTTCTAGAATTGCAAAGTAAATTATAACACATCTTAAGAATCTGAAAAGTAATAGATGGAGGAAGAGAACAGAATTTTGTTTTCATGGTGATTTTTGTGAAGACTTCCTCCAAAACCCTCAAACTGAAACTGTAATTACAATAGTATTCAAAAGGATGGAAAGACTGGGAAGCATAGAACACATCACAGACAAGGCTTAGATCCTTGCCTTACACACAGTATGCAAACTTGTGTGTCTTGTCCTGCTGTAAAATGGAGTAGACAAGATCTCCTGGGGTTCTTGTAGAAAGTACCTGGGGTCAAATATTTACAAATCTATTAAAGCATTCTTACAGTTCAATGGAATCTAGCATTATACTAAGAAGTTAATAAACATTATGATTAGTTATTAAATAAGCACTCAGTATCGCACATAAAGTGACCCTCCTGCCCCAAGGACTTACGTGCATTATCCCCTTCTGGAGGTTGATAAAAAGAAAGGCCCAATGATACTATGGCTGCAATTTCTAAGATAATTAAAGTGACATCTTGTAATGCTTCCCATACTAACTGAAGAAAGGTTTTTGGCTTTTTAGGAGGTATAAAATTCTTTCCAAACACTGCTTGTCTTCTTTCTATATCTGCAGGGTTTCCACTTAAACCTATTAAGAAGAAACAAATTTCAGTAAACAGTTTTACTACTTACAAATCAAATATCTTTTATTCAGAATATACATTCACTTGTACTTCAAATCCCAATTCATAAGACCTTATCAAAAATGGTTTAATTTTGTGTACTAGACAAAGTATACAGATTTTAAACAAAAAATCTGTGTGGTACTTTAAAAGAATATTTTAAATGCATTAGTGAAAACTCGATTGAGAATTTTTCAAAAAAATTTTTATTGACTTGCCACTAGTTGATGTAACTTTATGATCTGGCAAGTAAAACCTCACCCCTCCTCCATGAATGTGCTCTCAACAATGCTCCAGCACCATAACTCTGTCACCTCACCTCCCCTATAGCCAGTATATTATCCAAAGTCTAATAAGAATCATTCCCGTTTTTTTTGGGGGGGGGGTAAAGATTTATTTATACATACAGAACTGGGGTACAGGCCAGAGGAGTGGGGGTGATTCACCAGAGACAGAATGGGGAGCAGAACAGGCAGATGTACTGAAATATACTGCTGAGGGGAGCTGCGGGCGGGTCAGGAGAGGGCTGCTGTGTCATGTGAGTCACCCCCTGGCCAGGGATTGAACTCGTGCTGCAGTGGCTACGATAGCTTCATGGTGCTGTGCTTTAAGCCGCCTTGCCACCAGGGAGGGCCCAGACTCATTCCTGTTTTGTCTGTTCTCTTTGATTATTTTTAGCAAAATGAGTGAGAGGCTCTGGTAACTATCTTTTTCTGTTTATACTGCCTTATACCACTATTTGTACATTGCAAGAGATCAGCACGGATATGACAGTTAGCTTTATATTGGAAATAAGCATTTCTTTTTTATTTAAAATGTTTCCTGTCCAAAATATGAAAAGATATAAAGATATCTGATTTACTTACAACAATCTGAATAACGTTAGTGAAAGTCTTTGATTTTTTCACTCTTACTGAACAATGAAAAGTTAATCTATCACGAGTTCTAAAACTTCTCCATAGAGATATGCTGTACTTATGTAAGTCACAAAACACAGAGAACTTAGGATGACCACCTTTCTTTCAAGTTTTACTTTTAGGATTAATTTCCAACTGAAGGAAACAGGTACTGCTACTAACTGCACCTACAGCCACTGCAAAAGAACAAGTACACTGTTAGACGAAATATTTATTTGGAACTAGATAGCTATGAGGGAAAAAAGAGTCACACCAATTTTCCCTTTCTTTCACCCTCTCAATCATAGTCATCCTCTAACTTAACCCCAGTTGATCTTGTCAAACTACATCTATTGCAGTTACCTAATTCAAAGTAAGTAGACATATTATTGCGGAGGATATGAAAACACTGCAGTGACAAGTGATATTTCATTAGTCTGTTCAAGAATATTGAAGATGCGGTAGCGACACTAGAATATGAAATTTAATTTATCATCAATTTAAATTTATAATTAATTTAATTAACTTTAATATATTTTTTTAAACAAGAGCTCATTTCTAAGAGAATTATCAAAGACAAGAAACAACAGGTGACTGGGAGTTCTCAGCTTTACGTGTTTTAACTACGAATTTCAATGCAGAGGCAAACAAAGAGGGAACAAACAAATTTCATTGTTAGACTACATGAAATTATAATCTAAACCCTTAAAATAATTATTTTCCACACTAAAGATTCCAGAATAAGTTTTCACTAGCAACTATAACAAAGTTGTGCGAGTGAATGGTTCAGAAGGCATCTTAAGATTCCTGATGACAAAAGTAATCAACTCCAAGCTTCTAGAGTTCCAAGCTCTGAGAGAGTCAACAAGAAAGGGTGGTGGTAACTGTGATTGGGGAAGACACATCCTGAGAGAAGAAACTTGAATTATAATTTCAAACCCATACAACAGTTTCTTCAAACTACAAGGGCAATATCCCCAATCACAGATGGTTGCTGCTGGGGAGGGGCAAGACAGAGGGGGATCAAAGTGGTGAGGTTTCCAGGAAACAAAGCTTGTTAAGACCTATACTCCGACAGTTTGGAGATCAGTGCTGCTTGCTTTTCAAATTATATGGCCTTTATTTTACAGAAAGACAGTACCACATAAAGGATAGGCTTGTTTTGTTTTATATCTTAATGCCCTTACTAGCAAGAATTTTTTTTAAAGTCTGCAATTTTTTCTAAGAAATTTGTTTGAAGAGATTGGCCATATCAGCTTAACTCACATTAAAAAGAGCCTGCCATTAATTACTTAAGTGTAAAAATGGGTAGTTTTAAATATCACCACTTTAACTATAAAATTAGTTGAATAAATCTTACATAGGTTATAACATGGAAAATATTTGATGCTAATGCTGCGGAGAATAAACAGATATAAACAGCTAAAGGTAGCTTAAAAATGCATTTTTGAGGTGGTCAATGAAGTGAAAAAGCAGTAGGTCTTAGAGATGGTTATAATTTTCCTAAACTTAGTCAAGAGTTTTGCAAAATTGTCTGTTCTTCCACAGATGTTTACTGAACATCTCAATGCTTCCAGGGATTGTCTTACAAATTAAGTCAGTGTGAACAAAATGCGCCCTACATTCACCAGGTTTATTTTATATTGAAGGGGAAAATGTAAATATACAATTAAAATAATATGGAAAGAGAATTGGCATTTATTTTATGTGCAATAGAAAAATCATCATGTTTTAAAGCTGGGTAGTAATAATTAATCTGCCTTCTAGAAAGCTCATTTAAATTGTTGAGAAAGTGAAGAGTACAAAAGTGGATAAAAATGACCAGCTACCAGCTGAGAGGTTCTTAGTACAACCTAAGAGATGATGATAGCTTTTAGAAGTGGAAGCAGAGTGACTAGATGTGACAGGTATCCTGTAAGGAGCGCAAGCAGAACACAATCACTGAAAGAAAAAGAAGAATAAAGAATAATAGCCCTATTTTTTTTTTCATTCGAGTGTTTGAAGGGGTAGGTGACTGAGACTTTTACCAATACAGCAGGCTTTGGTTATTGCAAATTTGGGTAGATAAAGTGATGTAGGGGTCAAGGTTTTAAACATGAGATACTCATTAAACAATTAAATGGAAATAACTAGTAGACAGCTGGCTAGCTGTATTCAGAACTCAGGGAAAGATCTGAGCTAGAGAGACATCAACATCCTGATAATTCTGGAGCCATGGACCTGATCAGGGCTGAGGTGAGCACTGGGAGCACTCAAAAGTTTGCTTGCTGGTCAGGTAAACAGTCAAACTGAGAAGAAATAGTTAGGGTGGGGATGCATACAAACAGGCTCATGTAGTACTAGGGAAGCCTAGAAAAGGAGAGTTTTAAGTAAGTCAAAATAAAGAAGCTTAATAGTAACAGATATATGTCTTCAATACATGACTAACTTGCCTGTGCGACTTCAGACACCATCTTAAACAGTTCAGTTCAGACAGAAAGATTGAGGGTAGGGAGCAGTCAGCTAGGGAGCTGACCAGGTTGGATACAGGCACAAATGGATGCAGCTTCAGTTCTGCCTTAGCAGGTTTTTTTTTTTAAAAGATGATGGGGCTGACTATATCAAATGGTGTTACAAGGTTGAGCAGGATGAAGACAGAGAATGGACAACTGGCTTTCTGCAGATGGAGGCTGATGATCTTGACAAGAAATCTTCACGAGTGCTGTGGAACAAAGTCTGATTATAAAGAATTTAAAGAAATAAAGAATGGGAATGAATGGGTAGAAACTGATTTTTTTTTTTTTAGGTGATGCAGCAGGTAGAAATAAAGCAGTTAAGGAGATTAAAACTGGGCAAATAAAACCTTGTTTTTTGAATGAGTGACATATATTAAGAAAATTTACTTAACAGTGGAAATGATAAGTAAAAACAGAGCATAAGCGATACAGGAAACAAAGGTTGGTAGTAGAATAAAGCCTGTAAAGAGGCAAGAGGGAATGGAATCCTATGTGTGGGGATTAGCCTATTACAGGTGCATGAAGAGGCTTATACTATGAGCAAGGAGAAAGAGTTTGTGAGAGGAGACAGTAGTTAATCTGGTAAAACTAACATGATTACATAATCCTAGTTTTAAAAAATAAAGATATGATATCAAAGCATTAAGAATATTATGTGAATAAATATAATGAGAAATCTGTGCAGTCCTACTGGCTCAGCTGAGGATAGTGCTGTGAGAATGAGGTCAAGGGCATGCATGACTGAAATCCTTAAGGCTCACTTAGCTTCACAAAGAGAAAATATACTCCAAAAGCAGCTTCAGAATTATATGCGTTTAGGGTCATGATCCATCACTGTGGGAAGTAAAAAAGTCTATTTTCTATGAATAATGAATCAATGGACTTTATACCTGAAAAGGTCATATTATGGAATAAAATGCAAATTTCATTAATAGCTTGAACTTTTACAAGAAAAGGTAGCATAAAAACAGCTGAGATTAATATAATCATATCTCAATTTAGGAAAAAAATGGGGGGCAGGTATGATACTGGAATGCAGCTGATAGGTTTACTTGAAATCATGGCAAACATACAAAAAATACTATAGCCTTTCCAAATTCTATACTTGAAATTAGTATTTGTATTTGTGTGTATGTGATGAGAGAGAGTGAGCACGCACGCAAGCAAGTCTGAGCACACACAGGCAAAGTGAACAGAAGAGAGACAGATGGTGGTGGGGCAGCAGCCACTCTGACTTCTCCAGGTAAAGGAAGTATATGAAAACTTGTTTATGCGTATTATTCTTGGGAAAGGACAATTTCAAAAGAGAATGTCCCCAATATTTAAGATTCACTGGTGTGAAGTCAAACTTGTATATTTGTATCTGATTATACACTGTAGACCAGATACTGATAGGCATTAAACATACAAATGAAACTGAACCAGGCATGATACCCTTCTGTGGCACTTGCCCTCAAGGAACTCAACAGTTTGGTGGAGGAAACTGACAAGTCACAAGTTAATCACAACCCAGTCTGTGATTAATCCAAAATTATGCAATGCTGCAAATACTGAGAGATGAGATTAGAGAAGTAAACATAAGTCAGATGGCAAAAAAGTTTGTTAATTGAGAAGTCTGGCATTAAGGGCAATGAGGAATCACTTTCAGCTTTAAGCAAGAAATCATCAGGCAGCATGAATGAGACAGGAAAAGATGCCAGTTCGTATGTTACTAGTGAATTACTGCAAGACAAGACAGCAGCCTTGACCAGAGTAATGGAGATATAGAAATGCAAACCCTTCCCTTAAGAGAAGTTATGTATGCAAGTAAGTTTTGTCTACCAAGTGAGTCAGAACTGGTAAAAGATTCCTGTTAAAATCAAGGTTGAAAAGTTTCACTGGGAAAAGGTGGGGGGCAGGGGAAAGAAGTATATTTTCAGAAGGTGAAGTTTAAAAAGAGTGAAAAAATGTCTAGAAGTACCAGGGTTTAGGACCAAAGCTTAGGTGAAAAACCTGAATGGGAGCTATGGATGTGGGTAACACCACTTAAGGAGAATGTACCAATGGAGACAGATGAACAGAAGCCTAGGCACTTCTAAAGGATAGCACTGATATTGAGGCTAGTCAGTATGAGGAATAAAAGCCTTAACAGGAATAATGCCATGGAATCAGAAAAGAAGGCTTTGAGAAGAAAATATGCCCACAGTATTCAGGAAGCTGCCCTTCAAAAAACTCTTAAAAGTCAAGCTAGTTCAGGCATTAGCAAGATGTACAACTCTAAAAAATAATATCTAGGTTACTAGAATTCACAAGCAAAGAAAACTGATAACACCAAAGCAGCTGTATAATTCTCTAACACAGCAGAAATAATTTCTAGACAAGGTTAAGTAGTACATCAATAGGAAGATCTCATTGGTAAACTCTATGCAAGTATTAAAACATATGTGGCTGGCTACTATATCCTTGCAAAATGCCCAAAATGGCTGTGTCAACCTGTATAGGCAAGCACATCTATCTGGGTATCAGCACGTTCTTGTAGCAGCATGTAAATCAATGATAATTTAGCCATGTTCTTAGTAAAAGGCTAATTTTAATCCAGAGTTAGACTATGTTTCGTATATGTGTTACTCTCATTGTATCGCTCTATCACTAGGCAGCCTTACTTTTAGAGTACAAACAGAAACTGCCATCTGAAACATGGAAATATCACATACCTCTCTTATTTCTCTCTAGTCCTGTTTCCTTTTCATTGTCTTTTTTCCTCTTCTACCTAATTTTAGCAACCACCACTTAAAAAGCTAAGTGTCTCATTTGTTTCCTTACCTTTTATAAGTCCATGGGGCCTGTCTCTTACAGATATCCCTCAGTACCTGTCTTTAATTTTTATGAATTCATTTTTATTTTTTGTTTAATGAAATACTAGTGAACAATAAACATGATACCAGGGTTACAGAAATTCTAGAAATTTTATTAGAAAGTCTATTCTACCACTAACTGTAAAACATAGTTAATGCAGAAACACAATAAAATGGAAAAGATATCAAAAGCTAGTGTAAAGATAAAAGGATCAAGAAATGTGAGCTAGAACAAAAATAAGAATGTCAATGTAGAAAAACAATGAAGATAAAGAACACAAAAACTAATGGTAAATGACAAACTATGGATATAAACAGAGGACAATTGTTTAAACAAATTTTAACAAAGAAATACTAGGAAGAAAATGACTGAGAATTTTTAGGAATAGAAAAAAGCTTCTATTTAACTGCACAGGCTAGCAGCAATATACACAAAATTTTAGTGTTGAATGTTTCTGAAGATTAGCACAAACTTCCATCGTGTTGTTAAAGAGGGCATATAATCACTCCCTCCCAAAATTTTAAAAAACATGGTACTGGATAAAAAAATTGTCAGTTAACATAATAAATATGACTAATTAAACCAAAATCAATATAAAGAGTGCTTCCCAAAATAACAGTGCAAAAGAAACGGAAGTGCAAACTATTCAGAATCTGCTGAAAGTAAGAATGCATTATGGAAAGGTTTTTAGAAAAACAGGAATTTTGAATAAGAAATAGAAAGATAGGGAGGGGAAAAACAGTCAAGTGTAGATTTAATACTGAAGTTCAAACTGTAGTTATACTGAAGGTTTCTTAATGCTAAAGTCTGTCAATATGGTAATTATGAACCATACAACAAGTTTTAGATGAAATGTAGAAGTACATTGTGTTTGAATGAATGAATCAATCTACCAATTGAGATATTAATGTACAAATATCTAAAATGGCATAATTAGCTAGTATCTCAAAATGGCTTTACAAAGTGAACAAGTTCCGAATTTTGTCAAATTACTATCTATTAAGATCATTTCCTGATTCTCCAAATGTATACCAACAACGGGATCCCAGCTACGTTAAAATGATATAGCATATGTAAGGTATAAGTAGCTAGTACATTTTTCTAATGGTTAGGGCTTGAGCAAAAGATACAGAATGTATGGAAAAGTTAAGAGGTACTGCAGAAAAAGAATATATTCCATGTTATCAGAAGAAGCCCTGTTAGGGTATATACTGCTTCATTAAAACAATTAACAACCCAAGCAAAATTATATAACATTTTTAACAAAGGTAGGACTATGATTTAAAAGACATTAATAATTTTTGATATAACCTTTTGCTATTAAAATAGTAGTAAGGCATAAGATGTCTGAAAAGAATGTCAAGAGAAATACTGCATAATTTTCTAGAGATGACTTTGGAATATGAAGTACCATACTTTAAGTTTCGATATTAATAATTTTCCACCCTTAAGAACATAAATTGTAATAACCAAACATTTACTTTCATAGATATGCCTCCCTCTTCTTCTGAAATTTAGAAGTATCTTTCCTAAAAGCTCCTAACCCCAAATTTATGTTTAACATAATCAATGTATAGAAGGATATCCCTCTTAAGTCATTTTAAAGACCATAAAACAAAGAAGTTATAATGACTTTTCTTCATTCTTAAAAAAGAAAACATACAAATCAAGAGTTATGTTTCTTTAAACATAAGGAAATTGAACATGATTCTAAAATAGAAAACTTTTAAATTAAAGGAAATGCCTGCTAAGTTAAAAAACAATCAAACAAACAAAAAACTAACAACTATCTTTCTAATCTATTCCCTTTGCTGTAGGATGTTCTGAACAAATTACCAAAAGCTTAGGTTAAAAACAGCTCGGTTAAGTTACCAGCAGTGACAAGTATTTTAAGCGGCCTGGCAAAATGAAGGACAGTGAGCAGGTTTATTTCCACTGAACCCCCTGGGGGCTACCAAGCTTGATTCCATCCTCTAGAGCTGGAGTGGAAAGACAATCTTGCTACAGTAAACAAGTAGCAATAATATGTACAAGAACAGAAAATATCTCCTCTGACCAAACAAAAATATATAAGTTAATCTGCAAATACTTTTTGATCTAGTTACTTTAACTGCACCAATATGAGTGAACCTATCTTTAACTAAAATTATGACAAAATAATATACTAGCCAAGACAGTAAGTCTGTTTATGAGTCAAATATACAGTGGTCACCACACAAAGGACTGAAAATGAACATAATAAAACTCACCTTCATTAGGAGATGTTTTCAACCTGGTACAAATTCCATAGACATCTCCATAGCTTTCCTGAATTTTTCGTAATGCATCTGTAGACCTGAGCTCCATGAGAGCCCGCAGTTCTGCGAGCGTAATTCCAAAGTCTCCATCATGATTAGCTTCCTTCAGAGAGTTTTTTACTCCACCATAAGCAACAGAGTTGTTAGCCATGTCGCTCATTACAAGTATAATTTATTAGAAGGAAAATGTTTCCCAAAAGACTCTAATTTTCACTTGATATATATCCAAGATGAAAATCCTTTAAATATGAAAATCTTTCTTAAGCCAAACACTCATTGTCTAACTTTGTAAAGCAGCATCAGCAGCATTTCCCAGAGAAGTATCTTGATCTTTGGCCCATGACTAGTTTCTTGACATCAATCATGAGATACACACATCTGTAAGAAAAAAAAAAATTAAAGATAAGTAAAATCCATCTTAGCATTTTATAACATATAAGCACACCTTCTAAATGTATGAAGCAGTTATTCAAAGTACAGCATTAAATTGTAAAAATATATTTTAACCAGTCACATAACTTTAAAATATTTTGCATGATAAAAGACCAAAAATCTAATGTAATAAATAAAACTGTATAGCATAAGACATTAGATCTCACATTAGTAACTGCATTTCACACAATTTTATATCCCATTCAGCATTACTGGTATTATTAGTTATCATTAAGCATTTCTATCTCAAGCACTAAGCTAACTGCTTTAAATTCAGTTCATCATCACATTTTAACCCCCGAGGTGTTATTACTCCATCCTCTACTGAGAAGAGGGAGCCTCAGAGTAACTGATGAGTTTCTGCACAGCCAACAAATGCCTCAAAAGGATGAGCTGGGATGTTTCCAAGTCCATGTTCCTTCCGTTACACAGACATCTCCTTCAAAACCTTTCATTTCGAATAGCCCCTGGATGGGCAAAAAGTACAATGATTCCTTTAATATGTTTTCCTATGAGTCTCCTCAGCCACTCTGTGATAGTACCATTTTTTGACTTCTTAAAATGATGATCCACACATGAACTGTGACAAATGACACTGTCTCAAGTCTCCCCTGACCAGCTATCTAAAAAGAAATTCTTCATTCCTTAGTCATTCTTTCTGGTACTTTATATTCCTTGCTGTCCTTTATTATCAGAAATCGCCTTGTTTATTTGGCTCTCTCTACCTACAAAATTGATTCTGAATGCGGAGCATGGGTTTGTCCATTACTATCATCCTGAGAACCTAGAACCCTGCCAGGTATGTGGCTGATACTCAGTTAAGTATTAAGGAATAAACAAGATGCATTACTTTAATTTTCTCACTTATACTACCAAAAGTGTTCAACTCTTAACTTTGTCCAGGTATGTACTTTTAATAATCACCTCAAAATTAATGTAACCAACACTGAATTCATCTTATTCCATAACTGGAGAATTCTCTTCCCCAGTCACAGGAACTTGACATCTTACAGCCTTTATTCCATCCACTGGAGTGTCAGTCAGTTACTAAGCTTAGTTCATTCTTCCTTTAGAAAGCCTCTTCTATATAGCTTTTTCTTCTTGATCTTCCAAAGTCCCCCTACATACATTATAGTCACTACCTCTCCCTGCCCCCAGTTTCTCTCTCTTCCTAATATCTCTTACATCTAATCCACTGTGCATTTTTCTGCAACATCATGTATTGAATTTTTAATTTTTTTAAACTGTCACGTTTTTTAAAACATGTCACCATATGTAAATTCAGAGGATTAAAATAACAGTTCTATTGCTCATACCCATTTGGCATTCAGCTGTTTTATTTTACCTATTTAATCTCTCTTTGCCCCAAATACCCATCTCCTCCATATTTAACAGATAAAATACTTAATGATTAGGAACTAGAAAAGACTACTGGGAAATGCAATGAATCTTTAGTTATTAAATTGTTATGAGGATGTTTGCAAATCATGTTAGGTGGTTTTTTCATAAGTGATGCCTTAAAACTACCTAGAGGGCTTAAACTATGGATTGTTGGATCCTATTTCAGAGTTTTAGACCAGGTAGGATGAGGGGAGGTGCTATAATTTGCTTTTCCAACAAATTTTTACAGGTTCAGGACGTACAATATGAGAACCACCTAGGAGAATGATCTAAAAAACTGAATTCATACAAGCTTGTTGAAGATGGGTTGGTGGACTGAAAGTGTGCTTGACATGGGATAAATTTGCAAGAACATGGTAGCTACAGATTTGTAAAACATTTTTTCCCTTTCTTTGTCTCCTGTATCTCACTTCACAAAATTTTATGCATGCACAATTATTACCAGCTTTACTCATCTGAGCACACAGTCGGTTCTCCCCTACTCATACATTAGTAATCTAATTTTTTTTAAATATGAAAGTAGTTTTTTGATAATCCACTGAGTTTCCCTTGCCAACATGTGATGACTTCTTAACATGCCAGCCTTAAAATAAATTGTTATTTGTCTGAAAGGTAAGATTCTTAAGATTGTGTGTTAGGGGCATGTATGTCAACATTCCTCTGGTTTCCACAAAGAGGAATTTTCCTTAATAACTTCTGGCCTCCCAACCCTCCAATTATTACTAACATAAAATAAACTAGCTGACAGGTTTCCTGTAAGTAGCTAGATATATATGCAGCCTCTTCACTTCTCTGCATGCTACTGGAACTTCACGCACTCTTGACTGTCCCTTTAAGGGCAGTTCCCAGGTAAAAGATGTATTGTTCAATGTGCCTGGGATGGGAATAAATAACTGTTTAATTCTAGGTTCAATATTAGAAAACCGTTTCCTATCAAACAAAAACCAAGCCCTTCAGTTCAGCTTTGGCAGTAAGCAGTAAAACTGTTTAGAATCTTTCTCTTTTCTCTTGACAGAACTCAAGCAAGAGGAAAGGTGTTACTCATTGAATGTTCTTAAATTTCTCAACAGTAATATATAACAGAACTGATAAATAATAGAGCTAAGATTTGAATCTCTACTTGTGCATCAATAACCATGATTCCCTCACACTACATGTTGGGTTGAAATAGAAGTTTTGTAGGTCAAAAAAAAAAAAAAACCCAAAACAAATGTACCAATTTAAACAGTATTTGCCATCTTAGCATATTTCCTCCCATTTCTCAGCAACAGCACTATGTGCTGTATAGAGATCAATTTTTGAAGCAGGTCTGCATGAGGTTTCATCCACATATTCAGATAAGCTCTTGGTCATAGGATGACTGGCTTAGGAATGTTCATGTGACCCAACATGGGCCCATATAACAATGGAGGTGCTGTGACTCCAGGCAGAGACTGGTTTCTTATCAGCCTTGTATGGAAAGTCTCTTCCAAAGGAGCCAAAAGGGCAGAGGGAGAGACTGGTTTGTTGGATCATTTGAAGCTCTGCGTCTATCAATTCCTGATGTTGAGTCTGTCCCTGACATTTTCAGTAATTAGTCTAAGTTCCTTTTTTGAGGTTGGGTTTTTTTGTTACTATTACTTGCAACCCACAGGGCTTTGCCCATTATATGATTAGCAGTTATATTTACTTTAAAGAAAGGAAAGCCCAAGCAAAAGAACCAAATGCAAATGAACCACTTCAAAAAAGTGGACTATCTAAATTACTGTAATTACAAGTTATCTATTTCTAGATCATCTGTAGTCTCTCCCACTATTTTCCTTTCTACCTTTATGCTGCTCTTCCATTCACCTAACTAGAGGATTCACAACAATACAAGGCCAACAAAGTTTTGCTTTTTACTTGTTAGCTACAACGTGATAATCACAAAAGCAGGACTTTTAATTTTGTGTTTCTTTGTTTTCTAAAGGACTCTCTGATCCTCTGCTTGAAAAGTTTAAGACATGTTATGTGGAAACTGCTTTACCTATTGGCTTATGTAACTAACCCAGAATCCCTAGATGATGTCTGTGATCAAGTAACTGTTGACAGTCTTTGAGGGACTAGGGAGAAAAGCAAAGATATGTTTAAGAAGGAGCTGCACAAACAGCATCTCTAAAAAGAAAAATAAGGTGGATTCTAACTGACATAAAGTTTACTGTGAATGGGTAGGGTCCCAGAAGAACACAAAAGGATGACTGAGAGATCCCAGTAATGAGCAGAGCTCATAGACAGCTTTGTTAATTATACAATTTCAATTCCTTCTTTCAGAGGGTCACTTGACTTATAGATCACAGAAAGCCTGCATGGAAGTTACCTAGACTTAACAATAATAACAAAATCACACATTAAAAAAACTACCAAAAATAAAGAATAGTTAAGTACATTATGGAATAAAATAATGAGCTGGATGAAGTGTGGACCTTTAAAAATTATTACTATATAATCATTCCTGCAGAAAAGATAATGTATTAGAACAAAAGGAACAACCTATAAGGTTTTTCAAATACATTCTTGGATTTCTGATTTCTGAAAACACCGAAGTTTCATTGATCCAGTCTGTAGGTAATTTTAATAAGTCAGCAAGTATGTTAGAGGACAGAATCAGGATCCAGAAAGACAGGTTAAATTTAATTGGTATAAAAGAATGGTCTCCTACATCTCATTTTCAAAACATAACTGGAGAACTATGACATAAAAATGCAAGAGTATAAATTCAAAGACAAAGGTTCAGTTTACTCAAAGCTTAGTATGTATTAATAGGATGATAATTCACTTTATATGTTTTCACGTCCCACCACCAGAGCTATCTTTGACAGCAATAATAACAAGGAGTCTAACATCTAACAAAGAGAGGTAACAGATCTATTCTATGGTGTGTTGAATAAACATCCCTATAATGCTACAGGCTCATCTGTAAAACAGAAAACACAAGAGTATACACCTCCTTAAATGTGTTATGTATGTAAAACAAGTTGAATTTATCCTGGCTGCACAGTAAAGGTAAATATGTTAGCTTATTTTTGTTATTATTTAAGAATATCTGTAGATACATTGTATAGATTATAACCTCTCCCCAGAAGAAGGGAGTCTCCCAAAACATTTCAGATGAGAAATGCATGAAAAAATAAGGCTCCTAAACCAAAAAGAAAAAGAGAATTCTGACAGCATAATGTAAATGAAGCTCTGTTATAGAAAAAGCATTCGATGGGTTGAACACATAAAAAATATCAACAGTGCAAGACATACCAACTTTTGTTTGTATTATAAACAACAAACCACTGAACTTCGCACTAGTCAAGTCTGAATTACCATGAAATACATACCATCAAGTACATACCATCAAATACTTAACAAGAGAATCTTGAAAAAGCCAGGTAACCAGCCCATGGAAGAACTGGAAGGAATTTAGTTTAAAGGAAGAAGACACACAGTAACTACAAGTATCTGAAATTTTGTAATGTAGAAAACTGACCACTTATATCCTACAGTGAACTAGAGGGCACAACTAGAATGAGATGAAAT